ATAAAACTGGTTAATTTGCTGCAGCCAATACTCTTGATTTTGTCTCCTTCTATACAGTTGCCTTCTCTTCTCTGCCTTTTCCTGCAGAACAGCTAATTGGATTACCCTGAAATGTAGTGAACTGCAGAGTATGCAGATTGAGGTCAGGAAATAATTGCAGTGAGAAGTTTGGATCGGTAAGCTCTTATGGGGAACTCTGTGTATTATGAGTGACTGCATCTTCAGCGGACAGGGCAGCACCCAACATAAGAAGGAACTGCTTGATACCAGCTAACAAGCAGTAAAAGCAGGAGTAGGACTGGATCTAAATTTGCCTGGGGATAAATATGCCAGTGAAACTTTTTGCTTAACTAGAGTTTTCTTCAGTTATAGCACCTATGTATATGCGTGTGTGTGTGTGTACATATATATGTGTGTATACACACACACACCCCCATATATGTATAAAGAGAAAAAAAAAGGTTCATCTTGCTCTGGCCAGAGTCTGTACGAGTTCACCCTTCCCACATATTGTGATGGCTGGAGTATGCTACGTTTTTATCTATGATTGGACTTACTCTGCTCATTTTTGAGAATGCATACGTGTTCACTCTGTCCAGCTACATGCACTGCAGACAGTGTTGTATAATTCGGGTTGCATCATACTGTAGGCGGCTGTTCCTAGATATGCTGGTCAGAAGGGGGAGAGGTTTGGCAGCAATCAGGATGTTCAGCAATGCCTGCAGGTAGATTTTTAAGGAGCAGAGTGACTGCTGACTTGTGTGGGTGGTTTATTTGCATGCATGATATTGATACCATTGCAGTTTTACTGATACCTGATACATTCCTTATTGCTACTCTGTTTATTCACAAGGACAGGATTTGTGTTGTAGCTCCTCTAGCACTGCATTTGTTCAGTCGTGGTAGTGCTTTTAAACTCTTTCAGAAAAGAGAATGCTTTAAAGTAAATTGATTTCTGCAGATGGGGTTTTTATTATTACTATTTTCTATTCCTCAGAGGGCCTTCATCTAGCTAGTAACAAGTTCTGGCTATGCACCTTATGTGTATAATTTAAGATAAGATGATGGTAGGTAAGAGGCTGAAGATAATGCTGCAGTTACAGCATTCCCTGACACATGAGTGAATGCATCCACATTCACATTTCACATGTGAAACTGTGCCTCCTTAAAACAGCAATGGTTTTCGATGCAATCTCATGTAATCGAAAGTATACTTCCAGTTTTCAGCAGTGCCTCTTTTTCATATCTTGAGCTAGAATGAAATCTGTTCATGTTTTAATGTTTTAGGAAATCTCTGGGAAAATAATATATTAAGACTTGTGTAATTGGCAAGGTGTGTAATGAAAGAAAAGAATGTCAGAACTGGTGGTGGCTACAGCCAGAAAAGACTTACTTGAACAGCCAATTTTCCGAACGTTTCGTGTTTAAACATGCAAAGCACTACATTTTCAAAGTTTGGTTTTGTTTTGGGGGTTTTTTTGGTGTTTTGGTTGGGTTTTTTTTTTTATTTGGTAAGGCTCTTGTAGCAGGAAATCCGTACTACTTAAGTGAAAGGCCAGTCCTGAAATTCTAAAGTGGGGGAAACTTCACATTGTCCAGTACCCTTATATGTAAAAATCAGAAAAACTTTTTTTAATGAGTAAACTGTGTAACTTGTCAGTTTGGGTGGAAAGTGATCCTTCTCTATTTTTTTTTTTCCTTTACTTAGATAAGTTTTTACTGCAACAGGTCAAAGTTTCAGTTGCCTATGCGTAGCAATCCATACCACAAAGTAGCTTGGAAACAAGCTTAGTAAATATATATTTGTTGATCCACTGTTAAGTACTTGCAGTAAATACAGTTGCATCTCTGATTATGATACATATATACACCATATTATCACTCATTCAGTAGAAACTGATTTCTAAATTAAAATAGACGTGTTACATTAACTTTTCAAAATAAAAATCGCTATGCTTTCTTGTGCTTTGTCCTTTGAGCTCCTCTAAAAGAGGAGTCTGCTTAAATATTTACAGGCATGCTGTGTTGTTTTTATATAAATCCCTTCTTACAGTGATCAGGAGGTCTAGAAGATGCCTAGTGGTTACACTGGTACTGTGGGGAGACTGGTGTGGTCCTTAAGTCCATCAGTTGCTTGAGTTCTTAGATGGTAAACTGCGGGGATAAAGATTATGCACTTTGCATTTGTATGTCGCCTAACACACTGGGCTGGCTGGGGCTTCTAGATGCTATAATGATATCTTTTCATAGGTGTAGTTTTTGCAAAATAGAAAGGTAGTGTTGGGTTTTGGTTTGGGGTTTTTTTATATAGCTTACTGCCATAACTATATAATTATATATTTCATATACTGGAGTAAAAAGTAAGGCTTTTTTTAGCTGCAAACTACAGGACAGATTTAGTCTTATAATTTCAAGAATTCAAATATATTAGCATCTTGGTCTTAATGAGGCACAGCTTTATCATTTTAAATGACAAACTGTACCTGAAGACTACAGACACAAGTGAGTATTGAGTAAGCTGTTTGCAAATAGGTGGTGTTTGCATTATTACATACCCTATGTGTAATATGGTCAGGTTGCTGCTGTGCTTCTAGAATTGTAAATGCTGATGTTTCTTACTGTTGACATTCTTCTGATCCATATTTCACTGAAAGTGGTATATCTCTAAAAGCGTTTTGATTTAATATAATAATATTGCAACCAAAATCTGTTCCCTTAGAAAATGTTGACTCTTTCTGAGTGTTAGCATCTGATTTCTTTGCAAAATGATCCTGAAGGGAAATAATCATTGCATTCTGTGCTTTCCAAAGGTTTTAAACCCATATTGACTTCGCTAATAGTCTTAAAATGTTGTGAACAAAACAACTTAAAAATGACATTTGATGTCTTCAGAACCTAAGGAAGAAAGAATAATTCACAAAATTATATCTATTTGACAATGCCACATAAACTTAACAAGGTAATTAAACACTGAAGGGCAAATTGTAAGATGATGATAAACCTTAAGGTAACAGTTTATCCCCTGTGAGAATAAACTTTGTGCCTCTTAACTTCCCAAATCTATTGCTTGGAAAGAACTTTTCAAATCTAGCTATGTGTGCCCCTCAACCCGCCGCTCCCCCTCCCCCCCAAAAAAGTAGGTTAGTGAGCAGTACTGTGTCACTGGGTCTTCAGCTGTAAACACAACTCTGCTGAAACGTGTTTCTCTCACCTCTGCACAAATTACACAGCATAGTCTGTTTTAGTCTGAATGATTTGGGCAAAAGCCAATTCCATTTGCTCATGTGGGAAATGCAGTTGCAGTGTGTTCTTTGTGAGATAGGGCTTAGCCATACATTCATACCATACACAAACATCAGTGTTTCAGAGCTCATGCAATTTTCTCATGCACTAAATAAAAAAAAAGTATTATAAAAAGATGAATATAAATGCTAGGAAATAAAAGAAATGTCAGTGCTAGGAACATCACCATAGTAAACTTATACAATATTTGCGTCCACAAGGTAAATGCGTCCAAATACTGAAAATCAGCAATGATAATCACTCCTTGCGACATAGTAGGGGTTAGGTAAGCTAGATTTCATTGGCTAACACAGCTGGCCTGAAATACAAAAATTCAGACAAACATATTTCCTTTGTTAGTTAGCAGAGAAGACAAAGGCACGTCGGACGAGGTTAGCTGGACAGCTCTGTGGTTACCTGCTGTGGCAGAGGGCGATGGAAGTTCCCTGTGGGCGGATGCACGCTCCAGAGGTTTTTATACAGGCATGCACCTGGAAGGAATAACTCTCTGCTCCGACCAGTCGGATTGCAGGCTATTTAGAGTAACATTACCAGGCAGCGCTTGAAGAACTTACTATGTTACACTAAACTCTTCCACATTTGCAGTAGAAAACGAAAATGCTCTTAGGCTTTGAAGTCCCAAGCGTACCAACCTTCAGAATTAAAATCTCTGCTTCCTTCCAGCCTCTTGTTCCGTTTATGCAGATTGTGTGCCCTGCGTTCACCTTACGGTCTGCAGTGCTGACCCAAACAAGCAACTTGGCGTGGGCAAACGAGCGCATAAATAACGTGTGTGGCCACTTGGCAGTAGCCCAAAGGCAGAGAAAAGTTCATGAGGCTCCTACTGCCGGGAAAAGGTCAAGTCTTCCTTGCCCCGCTGAGCCTCCGGGCTGGGGAAGCTCCAAGTACCCTCCCCTGCCCTGAGTCACGGAGAGTATGGGGAACTGACGGTCCTGAGGAATTAACAGCTTTCCCGTTGTCTTTGGTGCAGGTCGTGACCATAGGAAATACGGTATCTACTGAGAGTGCAAACATGAAAATCACGCTTTCACCAGAAAATCTTGCAGTTGCTTGTTTTAAAACAGATGGATATTACAGATGTTGGAGCTAAACCAAATATGTATTCCTTACATGTTTGAAGAATTTG